TTTTCTGAGTTATTCTTCCCCTCACCATATCTTGAATCCCAGGATCACAGGTCTGGAAGATTAACATCCTGTGAAAGAAATGGAAGCCAAACCACCATTCCCTCTCACCTCCCTAGCAGCAAGAACTAGCTCCTTGGTGCCCAAAACACTTTGTGTGACCAGACTCATTACCAGCTGTTAGCAAAATGAGCTCCCTTCCCATAGCTTAGTCCACACCTTCCCTTCTCCACAGCTTAGCATGCTCCCTTCCTAGGCAACACTAGGCCCATGTAGTAAAGACAGTAAATAATCAACCTACAGCCCCCTTTACCTTGGGATGGCACTTTTCTGGGGACAGCTACCACCATATAAGGCAACAAGAGCTCTTTAGAGTGATCTTCAGGTCTGGAGAGCTGCAGGACCCCTTATCTACTATTTGGATAGCAGCTTTAAAGCCTAGTCTACCATGATGATGCCCCTGCCCACAGGTCCACAGCAGGGTCTCTGCCTCCTAGCCCCTTTTACCCCCTCCTAAACCTCTTAGTTTATATAGGTCATCTCAGACAATAGCCAGTGCTTCTTCTCACTTCTCCCTTGTGAGAAGGAGTCTTGCCAGCCCCCTTTCCCGGCAATAAACCTTTCTTTGTTCTCTGTGCCTGGATTTCTGCATGGTTCTCTGGCAAAGTCTAATAATCTTTCATTTAATCTTTCACCAGCTGTCCAGGATCAACAGCTAGGCAGACTCCTTTAATTCTTGACTTTGTTCTTTCCCCTAACACTACCACTGATACTAAAGACTGCGTCGAGGAAGAGAACACCACGGGACTGCGCACCCACCTCCATTCCTAAGTTACCTCTGCGGGGCGCCGAGGAGCAAGCTGCGCCGCGGGGTCTTCTGGGAAGCGGCATCCGGGACACGAACCGCACCCCGCGGAGGATTCTGGAACTTGTAGTTCATCTCGCAGCTAGCTGGCGAGTGTGAGCTCCCGGGTTCTCCTATGCCACGGTCGCCTGGCCGGGCTCCCTCGGTGTGGTGCGAGAGGCGTTGGGAAGAGGAAAGCTGGACGCCCGTCCTTCAGAATCTAAGTGTCCGGAAGGAGCGAGGCGGGAGGCTGCGCTGCAGCGAGGGTCCCACGCGTCCTCGGCTTCTGGCTGAACCCGAGCGTCGCACCTGGCCCAGACCCGAGCCCCCACGACACCCCCGGCGGGGGCGCGGGGCGGGAGCCGGCGTGAAGCCTGCGGGCGGAGGTGCTGCTCCGAGCCGCGCGGACAGGACGGAGCAGCCACCTCGGGGGACCTGGAGGAAGGCTGCCCTCTGGCTGAGCAGGCGCAGGAGGGAGCAGCTCACGGGGTTTTGAGCATCCGCTGCTAAATCCATTGATTGCCCTGGTGTTCTGTGCAAGGATGGATTTGCTCCCCGCAAAACAACAGATCTGGCCATTTGGCTTTTGGTAACGCGAGTTCCATGCATCCTCACAGGAACCCCGTAAGATAGCAGGAAGGAGCATTTAAGTGATTTAGCAGATGGGAAAAGCAAGGATTTGGGATGTCATGAGGATTTGTTTAGACTCCTGTTTTTTATTTGTTGGTGAGTTGAGACTTTGAGGGGCTGTTTTCATATAAGACCCATTGCTCTTCTGCGACAGTAAATACTTTATATGGAGGCCAGTGCTCAGAATGAATGTACTCTCCATTCATCCTTTGAGCCTGGAATACAACCAAAATGAATCGTTCATTGAGACATGGGTGGACACATAGATACTTTGTTGTTTTGAATACCCAACAGATGAGAGCTAGAGATATGTGCTTAGCCTGTGTGCCCAGATTACCATAGGAGATGTCTTCTGCTGGAGGTTAAGGGCAGCAGAGGACAAGAGAGGCCTAAGTCAGCAAAGGTCTCTTGAGTCAGGGATGTGAGGTTGTCAGTCACTTCCCTCTTAGATGAAATAGATGGTGCATGGAAGTTTCTACTGATTTTCTGCACATCCAGAATGGTTGTCATAGCACTGGTCTCTACTTCTAGGTTCACTTTTTGAAGAATCAGAATTTCCTGTTACTGGAAACCCAAAAGAAAATGGCATGACTTATGTGTTGCTGATCCCTGGGTCTCAGGTAAGTTTAGATTTTTTTTTTTCTCAGCATGGATATGTTTTTCTCCATTGCTTAGAAATCACTGCACCCTGATTGTTAGACCACCGGGTTCATCTAAAACCTTACCAAAAATGTTTCTCACTTGCACAGAACCTTCTTTCCCATCATTACCTCTTCTCTCCCAAGTGTTTACTGCATGCTTTCTAGCCACTCAGTACTCTAATTGGCCTCTTGAAATGCAAAATAATAATAGCTATTTGCCCTACTGATGGAATTTCTTGATGTAGTAATAAGGAAAATAAAGCAGCACAAAGAAATATGTATATATTTTATAATGTAGGATTGACTAATAGAAGCCAGATACAAGTGGTTCACACCAGTAATCCTAGCCACTTAGAATGTTGAATATAAACAAAACATCCTTATTCTCAAGTCATGGGCCACATGACATATCAGCAACAGGAGACCACATAAATGGGATTGTCTTATGTAGTGATATAGCAGTTCAAAAATAAAAAAGACTGATTATGTTATTGGTTGTAGTGTATCTCAGTTAAATTGTAGTTATATAAAAAATTTTTTTATGGGGGATGGAAATGTGGCTTAGTGGTAGCTTGTTTGCCTGGCATGTATGAGGTCCTGGGTTCGATTCCTTAGTATCACATAAACAGAAAAAGCTAGAAGTGGCACTGTGGCTCAAGTGGCAGAGTGCTAGCCTTGAGCAAAAGAAGCTCAGAGCCAGTGCCCAGGCCCTGAGTTCAAGCCCCAGGACTTTCAAGAAAAAATTCTTTTTGGCGGGGGGAGGGTTCGGTCATGGGACCTGAACTCTGGGCCTGGGCACTGTCGCTCAGCTCTTCAGCTCAAGGCTAGTGCTCTACCACTTGAGCCACAGCACCACTTCCGGCTTTTTTCTTTTTGCTTATGTGGTGCTGAGGAATGGAACCCAGGGCCTCAGGCATGCAAGGCAAGCACTCTACCACTGAGCCACCTTCCCAGCCCCAAGAAAAAAATATTTTTATGAATTAGAAAAATGATTAGACATTTGTTTTATCAATAGTGGACAGTTTCAAAGGAGCATTGTACTGGCTTCCTTCCTCTCACATTTTAAATTTTTTTGGGGGGGCGTCCAGTCGTGGGGCCTGAACTCTGGGCCTGGGCACTGTCCCTCAGCTCTTCAGCTCAAGGCTAGCACTCTACCACTTGAGCCACAGCGCCACTTTCCGGCTTTTTTCTTTTTGCTTATGTGGTGCTGAGGAATTGAACCCAGGGCCTCATGCATTCAAGGCAAGTGCTCTACCACTGAGCCACCTTCCCAGCCCCTCCTCTCACATTTTAATAGACAAACTAAACATACCTGTCATCTAGATCAAGTTAGGATAGAGTAAATATTTCTACAATATTTTTAGTGTTTGATACATTTCTGTCCCCTCCCCATTCCTGATCCTGTGCACTTTTTGGAGCACTCTGTTTAGATCTGTTCCTACTAATTTTTTTGTTTGTTTTGTTGCTTTTGAGCCCAGGCTAGCCTGTAACTTTCTATGGAGCACATGCTGTTCTTAAACTCACAATCCTGCTTCAGCCTTCTGAGTGCTGGTATTATAGGCACAGGTCTATCACACCCATGCTATTTGTAGAATTCTTGGTTTTTTTCTTCCTTCCTTCCTTTGACTATTCAACAAATATTTCATCGGCTCCTGTTCTGTGCTAGTACTAGGACCGCTTAAGTCAGCAAAACCTCTATTTTGGACCTTAGGGCCACATTAATCTCAAGGTCCCCTTCATATGTGTGACTCCAAGGAAGGGATAGGAGCAGATGCTACAACCTCAGAGTCAAGGAAGGAGTCCTGAGGGGGACAGCCCATGAGGAGATCTGAGGTGAGCAGTACCCAAATAGCTGAAAGGATAGAGCAGGGGGAGAGCATTCAGGAACCAGAGACCACATATATAAAGTAGCACACAGGTCAGACAGCTATCAGCTGGAGAATGCAGAAGGATTTTTGTTTGAGAAATAGAGTAGATGGTTGGGGTGTGACAGTTACATTGAGGCCATGGGGAGAAATGACAAGAGCACTTCTAGAGCTTCCATTATAATTTGGGCTTGAATAAACTCATGTGGCACAACAAATATCTTGATTTTTACATATATTGGATAGATTTCTAAAAGGAATAAAATCTATTTTTTAAAAAAATAACTAAAGCAGGTAAGGTCTAGGGGTGTGGCTTGAGCAACAGAATTAGCAGAATACATGCTTAGCAAGCCTGAGGCTAGCAGTTCAAACTCTTTTACTGCCAACACCACCTCCCTCCCCCCCCAAAAAAATAGAAAAACAACTTAATTCATGATTACATTTTCTGTCCTTTGCCATGCATAAATAGTAAGACGTTCTACAATTCCGTAATTTAACTTTTGGCACATAAACTAAGAACTTGATACCTCCAGATACGGTTTTGTTGTTGTTTTTTGTCCATCTTAGGGCTTGAAATCAGTGCCTGGGTGCTGTCCCTGAGCTATTTTGTTCAAGGCAAGTGCTCTCCCCATTTTGAGCCACAGTGCCACTTCTGGTTTTCTGGTGATTAATTGGAGATGAGGGTTACACGGACTTTCTTGCCTGGTCTGGCTTTGAACCTTAATCCTCAGATCTCAGCCTCTTAAGTAGATAAAATTACAGGTTTGAGCCACCAGTGCCCACTAAGGTTTTACATTGAAGGAGCTTTGCATCCTACCTGCAGGTGCCATGTAGCTCTGATGAATGGAGGCAGAGTGAATCTGCAGATCTTAGAATAGAGAGGTGCAGTGTCATATTGTCTAGCCTTCCTGAATTCCCTGTCATCCTCCTATACTGTCAGTTTGGGTCCTCTGAGGCCTCTGGAAGGAGACCTGTTGGTGAGCACTGATGTGTTTGGTTTTCCAGGGATTGCTGATCAGGGATATGGCTGAGGCTCTCACCCAGTGGGGGCAGTTGAAGCCTTCCCAGGGAGATGTACCTGAGAAGCACAGGAATCTGGTCCTTCTGGGTAAGGATGGCATTCCAGTCCCTGAAAATTTACCAAGTGTTATATCTTTGGTTCCTCAGTTTTTAGGATCTTTGATATACTTAACTCTCTGAAGTCTTAATTCTTCATTTCTGTAAGGCCTGACACAGGCAGTGTCTGCTATTTCTGGATATAGTTTCAATGCTCCTGGAATTAGACATGGGCACCTCTATCATATGGGCATGTAACATTTTTTTCTACTCATTAAGCAAGGATGCCAACACAAAGTTCTGGGGAAAACTCTAAAGAACACAAGTGCTTATTCTTTTACGAGGAAGAGCTAACTGCAAGTGACTAATTATTCTGAACTCAGATAAACCAATATCAATTTTCCTGCCTTCTGAGCACTGCTGAGGAAGTCCAGAACTGACCTCTCTTTTATTCTGTTCTCCCTATAGCCCAAGGAACCAGCACTGAGCTATGTATCAGACTCTTTTCTTTCTCCCCATGAACAGGGCTTCCAATTTCCAATCCCAGTGTAATCTCTCAGTTGGAGCACAGGGAGGAACTGGAGAGAGAAGTCTCAAAAACAGCCAGTTCAGGTGAGTGATTATTGGAAACAGTGAAAATACAACCTAGATAACCCAGAATTGCTTGTGCAATAGCCTTCAGAATTCACTAGACCTGTGGAAATATGGAACTGGAGTCTCAGTCTCTCTGTAGAATTTGTTTTAATACTTTCTACCGTTTTCTTTCTTTCTTTTTTTTTTTTGGTCCGGTCGTGGGGCCTGAACTCTGGGCCTGGGTGCTGTCCCTCAGCTCTTCAGCTCAAGGCTAGCACTCTACCACTAGAGCCACAGCGCCACTTCCGGCTTTTTTCTTTTTGCTCATGTGGTGCTGAGGAATGGAACCCAGGGCCTCAGGCATGCAAGGCAAGCGCTCTACCACTGAGCCACCTTCCCAGCCCCTTTCTACCGTTTTCAAATGAATTGCTTTTCCAAAAATAAAGTGGAATGAAACCAACCTTTCCATGTTAATAACTTGCTTGGATATAAGACTCTAAACCAGGCTTCTTTACATACACTATTATATCTCTGTACAATGATGCTATTGTCCGAGTCTCTGATTAATAACTATACTTTGATTTCTGTAAATTGATTTCTGCTCTGTATCCAACCAGAGGCAATGTGGCATGGTATAGACTTTTGGGAACTAGTCATCCTAGGTTCAGAGCCAATCTTAACTATTCAGTAGATTCGATCTTTTTTTTTTTTTTTTGTCAGTCATGGGGCCTAAACTTGTGGCCTAGGCGCTATCCCTGAGCATTCTTTGCTCAAGTCTAATGCTTTACCACTTTGAGCCACAGCACCACTTCTGGTTTTCTGGTGGTTAATTGGAGATAAGAGTCTCATAGACTTTCCTGCCTGGGCTGGCTTTGAACCATGATCCTCAGGTCCCAGCCTCCTAAGTAGCTAGGATTACAGGCTCTGATCTTTTAACAAGTTACTTACACTCTGTGACTCAGGTTTTCTAGGATTAAGAAGACGAGAATGTTAGCACTTAGATTTGTGGAGAGGAGCAAATGAAGTAATCCAAGATATGTGTTTAGAATGTTAAGCAAATGTGAGCTATCAATTAAGGCTATTAATAGATGCATTCTTTTTAGTGTGTGTGTGTGTGTGTATGTGTGTGTGTGTATGTGTGTGTGTGTGTACCAGTCCTGGAGATTGAACTCAGGGCCTGGGCACTGTCACTGAGCTTTTTCTGCTCAAGACTAGTGCTCTTTAACTTCAGTTACATCTCTGCCTATGGCTTTTTTGTAGTTAATTGGAGATAAGAGTCTCTCAAACCAGGTACTAGTAGTTCGTGCCTGTAATTCTGGCTACTCAGTAGGCTGACATCTGAGGATCACAGTTCAAAGCCAGCCTGGAATGGAAAGTCTGTAAGATTCTTATCTCCAATAAAACTACTCAAAAAAAGCCAGAGGTGGTACTTCAGCTTAAATTGTAGAGTGCTAGCCTTAAGCAAAAGGAGGCTCAAGGACAGCGCCCCTGAGTTTACACCCCAGGACCAGCAAAAAAAAAAAGTCACTGACTTCCCCACCTCAGTTGGCTTCCAACCATTATCCTTATATCCCAGCCTCCTGACTAGCCAAGATTACTGGCTCCCAGTGGTATTTTATTTTTGAAATCTGTAATGGAGTTGACTTTATTACTTCTTTCAAACTGGATTATTGCAATAGACTACCAGTTAACTATACTTTCTCTAATCTTAGTAAGAGTAATCAGAGTGTCATATTGCTAGATTCCCCTAGTGAATTGTTTACACTGCCCATTTTTCTGCTTACTTTCAAGGCCTTTTTTAATCTACCTGTTCAAACTTCTTGCTTTCTCTGTTCTCCAATTTGAACCCTTTACACAAATCCTCAAGTCCCTTAGAATCCTCCACTAACCATGTGTTCACAGATATTTGGGAGTACATCTATTTGCCTTTGACCTTATTTTGTGTGTGTGTGAGGGTATGGTATTATGATTTGAACTCAGGACCTCGAACTTCCTTGGCAGGTGTTCTATCACTTGAGCTTTACCCTTAGCACCGTTTTGTTTTAGTTATTTTTAAGATAGGGTCTCACATTTTGCCTCAGACCATGATCTTTCTACTGGTAGCCTCTCTTGAAACTGGGATCACAGGTGTTACTCTCAGCTTATTTTGTTGGGATAGGTTCTCTTTTTTCCCAGGGTGACCTTGAACCATAATTCTTCTGATCTCTACTTTCTGAATAGCTGATATTATAGATGTGAGCCACCTCGCTCAGCTCTCAGACATTTTTCTATTGGTCCTTTAAAATCGCAAGTACTTCCCTAAGTCTGGTGTACAGTTTATAATATTGTATTGATTTCACCTCATTTAGACACAAAATTAGATATTAAATATCATCTGTATTAGTCTGTTTGTGTTTCTATATAAAAAATACCCCAGGCTAAGTACTTTATAAAGAGGTTTATTTAGCCCATAGTTCTGGAGAATTGAGAGCATGGTGGTTCAGCCCTCATTGGAGCCTTCTTGGCTGTATCACAGAAAGACAACAGTGATGGACAGAAAGAACCAAGCATATGGAGCGACCTCACTTTGTAACAACGAATTTTTGCAAGAACTAATTCATTCCTTTAGACCAGCATTAATCCCTTCTGGTAGTGACACTCTATGACCTAATTACCTGCCATTAAATGCTACCTCTTCTTTTTTCTTTTGTATATGTGTCTGGTAGGGGTGGGAGAGATCTAACCCAGGACCTCACACCTACTAGGCACTGGCTCTATTGCTCAACCATATTATCATTCCTAGGTCCCACCTCTTAAAGTCTCCACTATCACAACACTGCCAAACTAAGGATCAAGCTATCAGAATATTTACCCTTGGGGGATACATTCATCCATACCCAAACCACAGCATTATCTAAACCTGGAATAGTTAAACATTTTTAAAAGCCTAAAGTCTTATTAGTAAACTTAGAGTTTTAGAGAAGTACTTTAGCAGATTAAGGGCCAGTCTGAGCGTTGGAGCTGTAACCTTGCCTTCAATAACACATACTGCTCTTTTTCTTCTTTTAAAATTTGGTTCTGCCAGGTGCTGGTGGCTCATGCCTGTCATCCTAGCTACTTAAGGAGGCTGAGATCTGAGGATCGAGATTCAAAGCCAGCCCGGGCAAGAAAGTTTGTGAGACTGTTATCTCCAATAAACCACCAAAAAACTGGAAGTGGCACTGTGGCTCAAGTGGTAGAGTGCTCACCATGAGCAGAAGAGCTGAGGGACAGTGCCCAGGCCTGGAGTTCAAGCCCCAAAACCGACAAAAAAAAATAAAAAGAAAAAGAAACAAAGAAAAGAAATTTGGTTCCCATACTCTATTTTGCTGGGTGTGGGACAATAGATGATCATTTGCTTCCTAACTTCTAAGCTTGAAGATATAGATGTTAATTTGAAGTTATAGATTTAGAGCACATCGATTCTCAACTTCAAGAATTTGTCTTTTCTTGACCCAGTAGTAACAAAGACTTTTGTTTTGAGAAGGATGGTTCTGAAAGATTAGTTTGCTAGTAGAGATTGGAACATAATGGAGTTGAGAAGATTGGTAATACAATTAGCTAATGTGGGTCTTTCTTGATTTATGCATTGAGAGGCTCTGGTGAGATGGGTACAGTGGATAATCCTGGGAGACATTTATTTCTGAGTCCAACTCTGTCTTCTTCAGACTCTGTCTTTTGTTTTTCATTTCCAAATCACCTTGGCTTAGTCTTGTCCTGTTACACTCTTTTTAAAATCTGCTGTCCTACTGCCCACAGGAATGTTGAGTGCCTTTATACAACTGTACTTTGTCTAGTCACCTGTCTTTCCTATGTCCTCTCAAGGCTGTTTTTGAGAGCTATGAAGTTAATTTTTGTTTGTTTTTACTGTTTCTCTACCACAATAGGTAGGAGATGTAGGAAATGATACCTTGTGTGTGTTTTTCTTCTTTCAGACTGGGAAAGAATACCAGAAAGCAAAGAGCTAATTCCAGAGAAAGACTTTCCTAAAGAAGAAGCAGCCCCTGGGGTGTTAATAGAAAGATTTTCAGAGGAACGTTCCAGTGAATGTGAAAATGCTTTAGAAAGTCAGCCAGAAAACCATGAGAAACACGTAATACAAGAGGTTGTCTCTCAGAACAAACTTCCTGGGGAGAGAAATTACCAGTGTGATGAATATAGAGGAAATTTTAGCCGACAGTCATTATTTGTTCAACAGCAAGGAAAGAGACTCCATAATTGTGATTCATTGAAAAAAAACTTAAAACAAAATTCAGATATAATTAGGCATGAGAGAATTTGTATTGAAAAGAAACCTTGGAAGTGTAGTGAATGTGAAAAAGCCTTCAGTTACTACTCAGCTTTTGTGTTGCATCAGAGAATTCACACAGGAGAAAAACCCTATGAATGTAATGAATGTGGTAAAACTTTTAGCCAGAGTATACACCTTACTCTGCACCAGAGAATTCATACTGGAGAGAAGCCCTACAAATGTCACGAATGTGGGAAAGCCTTCAGCCATCGCTCAGCCCTTATTCGGCATCATATAATTCACACTGGAGAGAAACCCTATGAGTGCAATGAATGTGGGAAGGCTTTCAATCAAAGTTCATACCTTACTCAACATCAGCGAATCCATACTGGAGAAAAACCTTATGAGTGTAATGAATGTGGGAAGGCTTTCAGCCAAAGCACTTTCCTTACCCAGCATCAGGTTATTCACACTGGAGAGAAACCGTACAAGTGTAATGAATGTGGCAAAGCCTTTAGTGATCGTTCAGGCCTTATTCAGCACCAGAGAACTCATACTGGGGAGAGGCCTTATGAATGTAATGAATGTGGGAAAGCCTTTGGCTACTGTTCAGCCCTGACTCAGCACCAGAGAACTCACACTGGGGAGAGACCGTATAAATGCAGTGATTGTGCCAAAGCCTTCAGTGACCGCTCAGCCCTTATTCGTCATCAAAGAACACACACTGGAGAGAAACCTTACAAGTGTAAGGATTGTGGAAAAGCTTTTAGCCAGAGCTCATCTCTTACAAAGCATCAGAAAACTCACACTGGAGAAAAACCCTATAAGTGTAAAGAATGTGGGAAAGCCTTCAGCCAGAGTTCATCCCTTTCTCAGCATCAGAAAACTCATTTTGGAGGGAAAACCAAGGAATCTGGACAAACCTTTAGTGAGCAACCAGCCTTTGGCCAACAGAAGAGAATCCATACTGGATAAATGTCATATATTCAGAGAATATTTGTTTAGCATTCACTATATATTCTATGAGGGTTACAAAGAAATTTAAGACAAAAAATACTGAGAAGTCATGTCAGTGTAAGCTCATTGAGACTATGAAAAAGTAGTTTTAAGCTGGGCGCTGGTGGCTCACACCTGTAATCCTAGCTACTCAGGAGGCTGAGATCTGAGGATCATGGTTCAAAGCCAGTCCAGGCAGGAAAGGCCGTGAAACACTTTATCTCCAATAAACCACCAGAAAACTGGAAGTGGTGCTGTGGCTTAAGTGGTAGAGTGCTTGCCTTGAGCTGAAGAGCTCAGGGACAGCAGTGCCCAGGCCCAGTGTTCAAGTGCCAACAAAAAAAAAAAGTTTTACATTTACAGAAATGTCCTAGTGGACATTTAACTTTTCTCTTGGAAAAGAGGGAATTGATTCTAATATTCTGACATGTATGCAAATTTCCAAGTCCTTAAGAGAGAAGTAGGGTACATATGCCATGAGGGAAAGAAAACATCTTGGCTAGGGTAGGTAGATTCTTTATGCTAAGAGGACAGATTTGTATAGGTGAGGTCCATTTAGGGAAATTGTAGGATAGCAATAAGAGATTGAAAACTTACAGTTTGTCCAGCATCAGGAATGGTGGAAGGATAAGACTTGTCTTTTGGCCTTACGTACAGGACACAAAGTAGGTAAATGGAAATGATAGAAAAAGAGTTGGGGGGAGTGGGATGAGCCCAGGAAATGTTGGTTGAGATAACTAGTGAATATTAACAAGCAGGAAACATTTTAGACTTGTTATTTTGTCAGTTGTAAAGTTCCTATGCAGTAATCTTTGCTCTGAAGGTGAAGAATATTGGCCTGGGGCTTGCTTCTGCACTCTGTCTTACAAGTCTCGCTTATGTGGCCTACTAACAGTCATGTTAATTCCAGTGCAGCTTAGAAAGTTCTGATACAGAAGAGGCCTTTGATATATTCAATCTCGTAAGCTATCTGAGTTACTGGAAAATATTTATTTAAACAATTACTTCAGTGGTATGTCAATTATACCTTTGGGGTTTTTTACATGCCATAGTAAAATGTAATCATAGAGTTGTACTGACATTGTGTATTACATTGTGAAAAACTTGCCTTTCACCATTTTACTCTTGGAGAGAGGCAGATAACTTCCTTGTGTATGTTTTTTTTAAGTTGAAACGTTCAGAGTTATTGTTGGGAACATTTTGAGTTAGTATTTTTCACATTGAGGTTTCCTTGGCTATGGTGTTTCTTGGTGTGGCTCTCTGGGTGAATTTCTGTTTGGAGTTGGTTGGGCTTCTTAAATCCATGTATGTTTTGGGCTGTTGCCAATTTCAGCCATGGGTTTTTCCAAATAAAATTTCATCCCATGTGTCATCTCTTTTCTCCTGCTGGATTCTGATGGCAGAACTATTAGATCTTTGATTGTAGCCCTACAGTTTCTGAGACCGTTCCTCCCAGTCTATTTTTAATCTTTGTTTTATCAATTCTAATAAAACTTCATAGACTGTATGGCTCAAGAAATATGGAGTCAGCTAGGCATGGTAGCTGACTCGTGTCTGTACTCTTAGCTGCTCCAGGGATAGAGACTGGAAGGATTGTGGTTTGAAGACAGCCTGGGAAAAAATTCAAGATATCCCCTCTCAACAAACAAGCTGAGTATATAAGTACTTGCCTGTGACCCCAGCTAAAAGGGAAACATACATAGAAGGATTGTGGTCCATTCTAGCCCAGGCAAAAGGGATATGCTATTCAAAAAGTAATGAAAGCATAAAGGGACCATGGGCAAGTGGAAGTATAGCTCAAGTAGTAGAGTGCCAGCCCTAGGAGAAAAAGCCAGTTGAGAACATGAAGCCCTGAATTCAAGTCCCAGTAGCATAAAAAAGGACCAGAGGCATGGCTCAAGTGCTAGAACATCTGCCTAGCAAGGGTGAGGCTTCTTATGTTCAAGCCCTAGTACAATCCAAGAAATATGGAACATCTAAAATCAGGCTTCTCTTTCCAGTTCTATTGGATCGGCCCTCACTTAGACCTCACTTCTCAATTACCTCCTAAAAGCCCCATCTCCAAGTAAAGTCACATAAATGGGTAGGCCTTCAGCATACAACTTTTTTTTTTTTTGCCAGTTCTAAGGCTTGAACTCAGGGGCTGGGCCCCAACCCTGAGCTGCTTTTGCTCAAGGCTAGCACTCTATTACTTGAGCCACCGCACTACTTGTGGCTTTTTCTGTTTATGTGTTACTAAGGAATTGAACCTAGCATTTCATGTATGCTAGGCAAGCACTGTACCACTAAGCCACATTCCCAGCCCCCCATTCAAATTTTAGAATGACAACTTGATACATATTGTTGTGTTCTGTACCTTTCCACCATATTGGTGTCCATGTGTGAAAACTATATTTATTCCATCCCAACTATTCCAGCAAACTCTTTTAAAGCTCAGAATTTTGCCTAAATATCACTCAAATCAAGATATAGTGAGACATAAAGTAAAATTCTTCCCCAGTCGTGAACCTGGGAAGCCAATCCAGCAGGCACCTTAAAACTCCTGTAGCTTCTAACAATTACCCAATTCCAAACTGCTTGTGTATGTATAATAAGTATTTAATACAGCAACAGCCCACTTTTTAGTACCAAAATCTTAGTATACTCACACTGCTATAACAAAAGGCCATACACTAGGTGACTTAAAAAATTATTTCTCACAGTTGTGGAAGCTGGAAGTCCAAGTTAGGGTCCAGTAGGGTTTGGTTCCTGTTGAGGGCTATCTTCTTAAAGATGGTTGACTCTTATTGTGTCCTCGTGGCTTTGACTATGTATATGTGGACTGCTGTCTCCTATAAGGGAATCAGTCTTATTGAATTAGGACCCCACATTTATGAACTCTTTTAAAATAATTACCTCCTACAATCTTATCTCCAAATATAGTCACATTGGAGATTAGAAGTCAACATAATAAATTTAGGGGAGGAGGGGGGTCACAATTCAGGTCTGTTGTAGTTTTATCTGTCATTCACTTGGGTGTTTTCTATTTTTCTAGCTTCAGGTTCACAAAGGGCTCTTGCCTCAGTCACTGCCATTGATCCTTTTTCTAGAAAGAGTACTATTACTATTTTCTTGTACCTTAAACGAATCTGGCATTTCTGGGTTGCCATCTTCTCCAGATTGCAATCTAGAATACAAAAGCCAAAAAGAAGCACCAAGAAATACTGCTGTAGTGTATTTCAGGGTCCTAGGCCAGGGCCATCTAGTCTCCATCTTTTAGAATCTTTGTAGGTTTGTTTTGTAGTATATAAAATCCAGGGCTTTTAGCTGTGCTCAGAGGATTACTATGGGGCATTGTCGTAAGACTCTCTTAGGTCTGAAAGTACTGCTTTATCTTTCCCAACATTTTGTATTTGACACTGAAATGGCAGATTGGGTTGTATCACGTACAAGTCAAAGGTTTGTACACAGAGGTCATTTGTAGCCAGTTAGAAACGATTACCAAAAGGAATACTTACTGAATAGGTCGATACTACAGGCTGCTTCATTTAGCTTTCAATGAGTTACACTTTTTAAATTGGGGGAAAAAAACAGTGCTAAATGTAGATTACAGATTTGTGAAAGAAAGATAGATATGTTATTAAAGATAAAACTGTAGTGTTAAATTATGAAAATCACATGCTAAATATATGTTATAATTTTGAATTTTTTCAATTTTGAATTATCTGTTCATTTAAATTTCATATGCAGCATATACTGTAGAGAATCAAGGAAATAAAGAATGAAAATATTGGGATTTGGAGAATCTTCTTTATCCATTCAAATCTATTTTCTCATATATATGTATATACTATATCATATATAATTATTTTCTTTCACATCTATTTCCGACCTAATTCTAGGTCGGAAATAGATGTGAAAGTGATTTATAAGCTACCAAGTTCTGTATAACTACTAGGTATCATTGATGGAGACATTCATATATTCATCATGTACGCTTTATGATACTATAGCTATATAAAGTATTGAATATAACAAATAAGTCTCTATCTTTTGAATACATTTTCTTGAACTGTAGAAAAATGTACATCTTTTGCAACACTTCCTTGGTTTCCCTGCCTCCTCCTACCTGCCCTCCCCTCCTCCTCTCCCTCCCTCCCTTCTCTCTCTCTCTCTTACTTGCTTTCTTTGTGTTTTCTTTCTTTCTTCCTTTTGTTCTTGCTGCCCGTACTAGGGCCTGAACTCAAGAGCTTATGCTCTTGCCTAGCTTTTTCCCACAAGGCTAATATTCTACCACTGGAAGTAGAAGCTTTTACTTCTACTTCTAACTGTGTGCTGGTTAATTGGAGATAAGAGTTTCTGGATTCATCTTTCTGGGCTTTAAACTGTGATCCTCAGCTCTTACCCTCCTGAGCAGCTAGGATTATATGGTAAGCCACCAGTGCCCAATTTTCTTTCATCTATTAATTTGGTAAATTATAGTGATAAATGTTTTTGTTTTGTTTATGAGACAAGCTCTTGCTATGTAGCCCAGGCTGGCCTCTAACTTGATGTTTTCCTGCTTCTGTTCCCTGAGTTTACAGACATGTATCACCATGTCTGGTTCTACATAGAGGTATTTTTTTTAATATTAATGAGAGACACCTATTCATAGGTTTGCCAAATCTAGTGATTTTTCCCTTATCTGAAGGAATTTGTATTCATTGAGTGTTTTATTGCATTTACTTGTTAAACTGGGATTATATTTGTGGAGTGTGTTTGATTGGTTTTAAGTAGTAGACAGAATTATTTGTTTGTTTTCTAGCTGGTAGTGAGGCCTCCCACTTACCTACTCTGCTTGCTCATCTGACACCCCAAGCCATACCTCAAGTTTTTGCTGGTTATTTTGGAGATGAGAGTCTTCAGCTTTTCTACCCAGATTGGCTTCAATCCTCAGTTCTCTGATCTGAGCCCCCTGAGTATCTAGAATTATGGATGTGAGCCTCTAGTGCCCATCTGAA